ACCTTGGGGTTGGGCCTGGGACTGATTTTTTGGTGATTGGAATGATTTGACACCATTCTAGTACTTTAGATTTGTCTATGTTTAGGAGTTGTCCTGTAAATAGAAGGTTGTGTCTTTTTAGGTTTTTCTGATATTCAACAAAGAAAGCTTTACTTATTATATCTTCTATTGGGGTATCTATTTCTTTTATAAGTATCAGGCTATTGGTTTCTTGCGGTAAATATGTTATAAATCCATATCTTCTCAAGAGCCAAATGATGTTATATATAAGGTTGTTACCTAATTTTTTTAGAGGGCTCTCTATCTTGTTTAGGATGGATTGGGTTGACCAAAATTCGTTTTGCAGTGTCTGTAATCTTATTCTTGCTATTTTTCCTGTTCTATTGACTCTATTAATTCTGTTGATCCAGTTTGTGATGTGGAACAGGAGTCATTTATTCCACAGGTGTATTATATTATACTTATATTTGTTGTAGAGGATATTGTTGGGAGTTGTTCTGGCTAGGCCTAATTTATGTTTGAAGATTAATGTGATGTTTTTCATGAGAAGATTGCATGATTTTTCAGATAGAATTATGTCATTGCATAGGTACTCTGCACTAGAAATTAGGACATGATTTATAATATATTGCATTTATTTATCTGTGAGGTTTTTTATTCCTATTAGTGCTTTAGTCTTCCTGAATTTTTGTTGAATTAGAGTTCTTTGATAGTTTTTCTTTTCTGAGTTATTATGCCACACTCCTAGGATTCTGACTGGGGTTTCTTTGAAACAGCCCTGGATAGTTTAATTGTCTATTACTATTCCTGAAGTCATCCTCTTTTCTATTAATAATGATTAATTACGATTTCTGCAAGTTGATTTTGATATTGTTGATATGATAAAATTCTTCTGCTACTTTGATGATTTCTCTTATGTCTTCTACATTGTCAGTGATCCAAGTAGTATCATCCAGATATGCATTGACTGCAATGTTGGCCTTTTTTGTTGACCAGCCTTTTTGGAAGTTTCTGCATATTTTTGTCAAAATTGTATAGCCTGTAAAATCTTTGTCTATTTTGGTTATGAGGGGGTCATAGAAGATATGCCAGAGGAGAGGGGATATTGTGTTCCCTTGGTCAATACTATCCTCAACTTCATATTTCACTGTGGGTCTGTAACATGTCAAAACAATGTTTTGTTATTGGTTGAAAGTATTACAGAGAATATTGATAATTTGAGAAAGAATCTTGATGCGTTTGAGTGCTAGGGTTAGCATTTCAAGGTTAACTAAATCATATGCCTTTGACATATCTTGACTTAGGATCCATGCTTATTTGTTTGTATCTTTTGCATGTTCAATAATATTATTTATGATATGGATTGGTTCCTGTGTACTGCAGCCAGGGAGTACTACCCAGTTTAATTCTGAGAGAATTTTGTGGTCACCTATGCATCGTGCTAATCTATCAGTGATAATTTTTGTGAAATCTTTCTTCCTACATCTAGAAGGGTAATTAGTCTTATGATGTCTAGGTTATTTTGCCAGTCTTTTGGTTTTAGTATTGGGTAGATAGCTCCTTTACTCCATTCTTTTGGTGTGTTTCCTTTTTTGATGATTTTGTTAAAAAGTAGCCAGATTTCTTCTATTGCCTTTGTCTCTAGTTTCTTATAGGCCATGTAGAAAATCTGATTTTTTCCAGGAGCTGATTTTGCACTTCTGTTTTGAATTGCCTTTTTTATTTTCTTTGTAGATATTTCAAATAAGACTGAGTTGTACCATCTGTGATTAATGTTCTTTTTTGGTTCATATTCTTCAGCCTAGAAGGAAATGTTAGAGATAGGCTTAATGTTCCTGGCTGGGGTCTAGTTCTGAAAGTGTTGTTTGATCCTATTTTTGATTTCTATTGGATTGGTTATCATTGAAACTTCCTCATATTCTATAATAATCTTGTCCAGGACAATGGTTCTCCTAGGTTTTTCCATGATACTATTAATCATTACTTTTTTATTTGTTGCTAGGTATGTTTGTCTATTCAGGATTCTTTGTTTGATCACGAGAGCTTGCTTTTTATACATGATTGCTTAGGCAATGACTTTATGTCCTCGGATTATTTTTTGGATGTAGTCTAGCCAGTGTTGTAGAAAATTGAGTGGATACTTCACCTTTAGCTTGATTAGATGTTGTTGCATGTCTAAGAACTTTTTCTGAAGGTGTTTTGATAGTGTGTGAGGAGACTTGTTTGCTTCATGGGTGGCTTTTAATCTGTTGTTAAAAAGCTGTATCCGCAATAGCAAATCTTTGGTTATGTTTTTCTTTCTTATTATTCTTTTTCTCCTATGTTGTTTTCTTTTTGGAATGTGAAGTTTGACTATTTTGAGAATATGGCTGTATATGATGTTTTATTGTTTATCTATTGATCTAGGTTTTGTGCTTTGGCTGCTTAGGGCTTTGTTGATTTCTAGGAAGAATTTTTTTCATTGTTCATTGTTTGCTAGCTACCAGTTGTATCTATAATTTGGCTGGTGGTATGGGATCTTCTTGTATAAGTTCAGTTATCATATTTCTATTTCAGTAATGGTAGGTTTGTGATTACTGGAAATCAGTAGGATTAAATCTTCTCCAATGTAGACTTTCCTGCTTTGCTATGATGGAAGTATATTCATCCAGATTTGATCTATTCTGCTACTGCTATTGTTCCAGCTCCAGGTATACTCTCTTTTGCTTGAATTATGAAGCCTGTATGTGTTCTCTAGACTGTGGTCTATTAATATTTCTATTTGAGGACCTGTTGATTTGTTGAATGTACTTTGTTTGTGACCATTGTTTTTGTCCAGAGCTGGGTTGGGAACTTTATTTAAGTCTCCTAATACTAGGAGATGTCAATCTTTTTGGAATGCTTCTTGTGTCCATTGCTTTAGTTTATTGAGAGTGTCTTGCCACCCCTGGTCTCTTTTATCTGCATGAAAGTATGTGCCTATAATTTTAAGTTTTTGTTTTTTGGGAAATGCAAGATCTATATGTATTAATTTTTCCTTCCAGATATTGTATTTATAAATATGGTTTGCTATTTCTTTTTTGATTATTAGATTTAGGCCTTGTCTGATTATTTGTTCATTATTGTGTGACCAAATTATATGGTAGGATGGGTGTCTTCAGTATTTCGATTATTGGTGAGTACCATTGATCTCAGTTGTTACAATGATGTCCCAGTCCTTTGTTGCACATCAGTTGAACCAGGTTTCTCTTTTGTGTTTGTTTGTTAGGCCTTGAATATTGACAATTGTGGCTTGCCATATCAGATGTTGAGTGTCTTTTTCAATGTATGTAGTTGTGTTGTTGTTATTGGAGTTGTCTTCTGTCATGTCATTGTTTAGATAGAATGTGAAGTTGATGGGTTTTGTTTTTGCATATTCTTGGGTGACTTTTTGAGTTGTATATTGCCATAATTGTATACTGTATTTTCTAGTGTAGGTGATACTGGTATATTGCTCATTGATTATTTTTTGAGGGAGAAGATATTGTACTAGAAATCAGTTCTTAAATTGTATTGAGTACCTTATGCATGTTTTGATCCATTTTGCTTATGGATTCATGGATTTGTTGTTGTTGAGCTCAGATATTGTAGTGTTCTTTTGTTCTTGATTGAGTGGTGAAGGTTTCCTCGTAGTTTAATGGGTCTTTTTTTTTATTTTCTGTTTCCATAATATCTATGAAGTTATCTTCTGAAACTTCCAAGTTATATACCCTTTCGTCCAGGTCGCTAATGTTTTCTTTTATCTCTTCAATCTTATTCTTGATTTCTTTGAGAATAGTCATAATGTCAAAAAGTGTTAAATTGTTTTCTTAGATCTTTTTTGGTTGACATTGACCATATTTGGCAGCTGCTGTGTAAGATCCAGGCTTGATTGAATGATGTTGTGGGGGTTTTGGTTGATTTTTAATTGGAGTGGTATGTGCAGACCTGAACTTGTTATATAGGTTTTCAAATTTACTCACTTGTTCCTTGTTGTATTCCTTCCATTGTGTTCTTTTTTCTTTGATTAGGCAGCCATTCAGTAGATGCTCTGGGCTGTCACAGATTGTGTACAGTTTGGCTTCGATAGATTACCAGGTACAGTTGAAATTCTTGTGAGATAGCTGTTTCTAGTTCTTCTTGTTTGCTAAAGCTGATAACTACAAATTTCTTTCTTTAGTACAATATTCTTCTTGATATGTAACAGGTCTTGACCTTAGTTTGTTCACATATTCTCTTTAGGTCAAAAGTGATAGTATTGGGTGGGAGATTTGTGAGTCTTGCTGTGGTTTGTTCACGTGCTTTCATTTGATCTATGTTTTATTATGTATCAAAAACTCTTACTGAGTCGGCTTTGAGAGGCACACTCCATTTTTCGATTAGGCATCTTTGTCCTCTTTTTTTGTATATGTGATCATTGCTATTTACCACATTTGTTGAGTTGACATGGTGATATTACTGATCGCTCCATATTTGATAAAAGATTGTTGTACTTCTATGAGTTTAGTATCCAAGGGAATATTTCATACTCTGATACTATTTTCTTGTTTTAGAATTGGGTTTGTGTACTACATGAAGGTCATGTGTTTGTTGTCTGTATCGGGTAATGGATTGTTGCAAATCTGTTTGCTTCTTGTTTATTACTTAGAATAGCAATGATGTACTCTGTCTCTTTTTTCTTTTCATTCTGAATTGTTATAAGTCTTTCTGATGAATTCAAAGTCTTAATTAGGAAGGTTATTTTCTGAGCTGTGGTTTTGCCTGGTAAATCTATAGCTGGGATACCAATCTTGGCTCTTTTGCTGCAATAACGGATGGTTTTGTCAAAGGGAAAGAGGGTTTTGGTTTGATGGTTTAGATATCTTTCTTTTGTTTTCTCTTAATATCACATGTTGTCAATTTGAAGTTGTTGCTTGTAGGTCTTGTTCTATCTCTATCTCCATGTCTTGGTCATCTCTATCTGCTTTTCTGTGTATCTCTCTGGTTGGTTCAGGGGAGGTTACTTCTTGTGTTTCCATATGTAGTATTGTTGTAATACTACCGGGACGGTTTACCGTAGGGTTTTTGGTAGCCGTAATGTTATTCTCAACTTCTTCACTCCAATTAGTACTTTGGTTGATTTCAAAAGAGGTTTTGGATATTGTGACTTGTGCTGTTAGGTCTTGGGGCATGTGTTGACTGTTGAAGTCTTCAGTTTAGGATGTTTTTCTTTGCTGCTCATATTGTAATTTCTTTGTGTAACTTGTTTGCATTATCTCTTGCGAGGATGTTCTCATTGTAGTTAGGCCTCCACTGGACCATTTTGCTTTGAAGTTTCCTTTAAGATGGTATCTCTCCATTTATCTTTTCTTTTTCTTTAAAAATTATCTAAAAGAAAATTCTTTAGAAAAAATGAATCTGCGAGAAAGAGTTTTTTTTTTTTATTTTTTTTTTATTTTTTTTTTTTTTGAGAATTATAACTCTATATGATTTGTTTATAATATCATTTATTATTACTTTTTTATTGATTGTCAAGAAAAGTTGTCTGGTTACTAAACTTTGTTTGATTATTTGATTTTGTTTCTGTAAATTATAATATGAGTAATAACTTTATATACTCAAATTACATTCTGTAAATAGATAATCTATTGTGGGATAAAGTCATTAGGATGTTTTTTTCATATATTGAGCAACTTTTGTTAGATCTTTATACATATTTACTGAGAAAGTTTTAATACTTTAGATAGTAATTATTTGTTTTTTGTATTATTAATAATTGAATTTAATAAGTCTGTATTGTTATTAAGGAATCTCTTTCTTGTCACTCTTCTTCTTGTATTCTTTTTCTCTAATATAGTTTTTTTTTAAAGATATTGTAGCAGGCCAATTGACGAGTCTGTCGCTAATGACTAAAAGCTCATATAACCTGCAGATAGAAGAGTCTGTCCTTCTATCACACACATAAAGCACAAATCAAGATAGAGGTGTAAAAAGATTTGGGTAAGTCTTAAGGTAGTTTTCCCTAAAACTACTTATAACTTCACTGTTATAACAATCTATCCAAAAGATTCGTCATTTTATTAAATCATTGAAGGAAGTTATATTTATACATTTTTACACATAGGGCTATTACATAATCACTATGGCTATTCTAGTATTATGTCATGTATAAATTGCTTCTTGATCAGCTAATTTTCTATTACTTCACTCATAGTTTTTTATCTTTTTGACGTGAATAGATTGTTCATGCATTCTTCTAGCTTGCAAGGGGTATGGTGATGGTCAGCAATTGATTGTTTCGTGTAAACTTCAGTCACATCACAATCATCGGTCACATAACCACAGCAAAAATTCTGAACTTTGTTTGATTTCTTTGACCTTTAACAATATATAGTTGATAGCCTTCAAGATGTGATTGCATATGATATTTCATTGTTTATTGATTATTATTAGTTTGTTACTTTGTTTACTCAGTACATTGTTTACTTTTTTGTCAAACTTTTTCTATTGTTCATTATTTATTAGTTATTATTTTATCTATATTTGGATTTATAATGAGTGTTTCTTTAGATGAGTTGAATCACTACACCTTTATTTTGATAGATACTGGCTTGAGGTCACTAAGAATTAAAGAGTCTAGTACTTCTCTAATATATACTTTTTTGCTCTAATAAGAAAAAAAAGTATTTATTCAAATTTAATTAATTCTACTACTTTATTGTTGCAATTTCATATGTATTTTCTTTTGGTTGAGTTATATTTTCTGTATTGTTAAAGGCCAAAGAAGACAAACAAAATCCAAAATCTTCATTGTGGTTACGTGACCTACAATCATGATACAACCAAAGCTTATACAAAACAATCAATTGTCAATTATCATCATACCCCTTGCAAACTAGAAGAGTACGTGAACAATCTATTCTTGTCAAAAAATAAAAATCTATGAGCTGAAGTAATAGAAAATTAGTTGACCACAAAGTAATTTATGCATGACTTAATATTAGAATAGCTATAGTAATTATGTAATAGCCCTATATGTAAAAATGTATAAATGTAACTTCCTTCAATGATTTAATAAATTGATGAATCTTTTGAATATATTGTTATAACAGTGAAGTTATAAGTAGTTTTAGGGAAAACTACCTTGAGATTCACCCAAATTTTTTTATGCCTCTACCTTAATTTTGGTATTGTTTTGTGTGTGTAATAGAAGGACGGACTCTTTTATCTGCAGGTTATGCGAGTCTTTGGTTATTAGCGACAGACTCACCAATTAGTCTGCTACAGTATATATCTTCTAATCTATAATTGATAAGTAGTTTTATTCAAGGGCCAGAAGGTAGGTTTGATGTACTATGGTTATCAGTATCAAGTTTATTCTAGACTGGATTTGAAACTCTATTAAAGTTTTTTAATACTAAGAGATATCAATTTTTTTATATTACTTTTTTTTTTTTTTTAAACCATAATCATGTCACAATGGCATGTCTTTATTGAAAAATTGAAATGAAATTTATAATATTTTATAAACTTTCACAAAGTGACTAACGTGTCTTCATAAAAAAGTACTCTAAGTCAGATTTTGGGAACAATATTTCACTCTCTTAATAGATTGGTAATAACCTCTATCTACTAGGATCATTGCCAATAGTTTGTCACTATTGATTGCCCGAAAACCAATAAATTGCTAAGTTAAAAAGGGGAAATGAGAAAAATGATTGTGGAAGAGAACAATTCAAGACCTATTAAAAAATCTAAAAATAAAAACAATCTCTTCTCAAAAGGGATCTACCTGATTGGGATAGTCTTCTTGTTTCACTTGAACCTCGGAAGAAATTTTCTTTTTTACCACTTATGGCATCAGACATATCAATCCAGCCAATCTTTTATTTAAGCGAGTACCAGATTGGGATATCTTAAGGAAAGTATTTAGACCTCAGCCTTTTCTATTAAAGCTTTGTCAATACTTGAGAAACTTAGGTAAAAGAGGAAAGTCTGCAATCCATATTATCCATCACTTGGTCTTTTGATGTTATGGAAGTTTTCATTGAAAAACTTGAGCTTTTTGGGGACAACTGTTTTCAGAACCTTCTTTTCAATCACCAATAATGTTATTAGAACACATGAATGTGACCAATAGGAGCTTGTTTATATTTTAAAAACTAATATGTTTCATGTCAACTAATCACTTTTAGTGAGGATTTGTGCTACCAAAAATTCAAGGTCAAACTGAGGTAGGCAAAATTCCTTGGAAAACCATGAAAGTAATAGCTTTAAAAGGTTCACAAATGACTAGAAGGGGAAAAATAAGCCCTTCTATCATCAAAAACCTCTATATACCTCTCATTTCAAAGGTTAAATAGGTC